CTCACTTTGTAGAGATGGAGTCTTGGCTACGGAACTCTGGCTTGTCTGGAACTTCTACCTTGAGTGATCTGTCCTGCTGGGATTATAGGCATGAGTTAATGAATAGACCAGGCATAAATGTTTTGTCCTTAAATGGGTTATAAAACAGGAATCTAGGCTGGGGCGGTGGCTCACACCTGTATGGGTTATAAAACAGGAATCTAGGCTGGGGCGGTGGCTCACACCTGTAATCCTAGCACTCTGGGAGGTCAAGATGGGTGGATTGCTTGAGCTCAGGAGATGGAGACCAGACTGAGCAAAAGCGAGACCCTGTCTCTACTAAAAATAGAAACACTGAGGCAAGAGCATCGCTTGAGCCCAAGAGTTGGAGGTTGCTGTGAGCCATGTCGCCACGACATTCTACCCAGGGTCACAGCTTGTGACTCTGACAAAAAACAAAAACAAAAACAAAAACATACACACACACAAAAACAGGAATCTAAGCAATTTGAAACTATAATACTTGAGATAGCCCAACAAGAAACTCCTGTGAGCAGTACCCTCCTCACTTACTCTTACCTGATTAAATGACCAGCCTTCTACTTGTTTATAGTTCTTCTTTATTTCAATTCTGTTCACAGTACTTAAGTGCCTTGTAGGTGCTCAGTATTGAGTTAAAATGCAATGTTAATATAAAATTCATCCGCAATTTCAAAGAATTTATAATCTAGGGGGGAGGTCAGGTGAATACATATCTGTGATGATTTAAAAGAGTTTACTACAGGGGTCTTCAGACTTGAATTGTGCAGAAAACTCCCTGGGAATCTTGGGAAATATGCAGGTTCCACACCTAGAGATTCTGACTCAGGTGGTCTAATGCAGGGACCTGTAAGTTCCAGGTAACGTGGGGCCTACAGATCCTTAGATTATACCTTAAAGAAAACAGCAAAGTCTGAGGTTTTTCACACTCCAAAGTCCAGAGGAGGTGGGAAGGTACTCAGTGAGGACACAACCAAAGCAGGCGTATCTGGGCCATCCTCAGTCCTTGTACCTTGTCTCCTAACAAGATGACTCCCATAGAAAGAGAAACTGAAAGAACCCCTTCCTGTCCTCCAGTAGTGGTGTGAGAAGGGGCCTACACCTGACTCTTGGCTTTGTAAAGGGCCATCCCCACGAAGCTGTGATTCTGGCAACCAAGGGTTCTAGGGATGATGGCGTGATGCAGCGACGGGTCAGAGAGGCTCTTTCTCCATGGAGGGCACCTGTTAGAGGCCAGCCTGGGGTACCACAGGCCTCCAGCACTCAGGAACCACCTTGGTTCCCCCCCAGGGCTTCCCCCCAGGACCCTGCTTCAAGTAGGTAGGCACCAAGCTGGCCACTAGGGACAGCCAAGCTTCTTCCAGCGGCACCACCACTCAGGGCACCTTCTGCCCGCATCTCCCCAGCATTTGCTTGTGGAGTTTCCTGGGGCTAAGTGAGCTGCCGGGAAGGCAAGAAGGGATGGTGGCAGTGGTCAGCTCTGCCCACGGTACTGTTCTTTGCAGGAATGGAGATAAAGCTGGCCACTCCACAGTCCAGTTAGAGTGTACAGAAGAGGAACTGGCGCTATTTCAGTGGCCAGGGTGGGTTGGTCAGTCCCAACCAGTAACCAGCCCTAAGGAAGAACAGTGTCCCAGCCTGAGAGGAGGCAGAGCCCCCACCCCCAGGAACCCCCTAGCCGAGGGGAAGAAACAAATCCACTCCCGTGTCTCCAGTCTGGGAGAGGAAACGTGATCAAGCCCAGGACAGCGTTTTGCCTCAGGGGGGATTCACTACCTTGTAGCCTCTGGAGACCCTATTCTGAGGCGAGGAGAAATATTCCTGCCAAAGAGGTTTTTTTGTTTGTTTGTTTGAGACAGTCGCACTATGTCGACCTCGATAGAGTTCCGTGGGGTCAGAGCTCACAGCAACCTCTGGAGGGGGGGGTGGGTCTCACTATTGCTCAGGCTGGTCTCGAACCCAGTGAGCTCAGGCAATCCACCTGCCTCGGCCTCCCAGAGCGCTAGGATTACAGGCGTGAGCCTCTGCGCCGGCCCAGCCAGGATTTCTACAAACCAAGTTGGAGAACTTTCCAGTGGGGGCGCGCCCGACAACGCGCAGGATAGTGGGCACTGCCCGCTTCACCAATCCGCACTGGGCGAAGGCTGTTGAGGTTTTTATCGTAGGCAGTTCTGCTTCTCGGGCCCAGTGGGCGCAAGGATGGGCGTCAGGGGCAGCGCCGGGCGTCCTTTAGCCGGCCGCCCCCTCCCCCTGCCCCGCGGGCTTTTGCACACGACGCGCGGCGGGCCGCTTCACACGGGGTGGCAAGGGCCGGATAAAGGGGGCGGCGCGGGGCGCAGCAGCCGGCTCCGGCACGCGGGAGCCGAGACTTGGGAGCGCCCGGCGCGCGGGATCCTCCCGGCCGGCAGGTAGGTGAGCATCGCGGAGAGTCCCGCGTGCAATTTCCAGGGCACACTCCGCCGGCCGGCGGCGCACAGCTCCCGAGACCCAGCGCGGGGACTCACGGAGGCCATGGAGAAGCAGCACCTGTTGAACGCCAGGTCTGGAGCTCGGTAAGGAGACAGCCTGGGGAGGGGCGGGCTTTTGGGCGGAATCAGACGCAACTCCTCATTTGCCGTCCTAGCAGTGGTTGGTTTTGGCTGCGGTTTGAACTGGAGCCGCAGAGGATGGGTGGAGTGAGGTGAGGGAAAGGGGAAATTAACCGTGGTCCTGTGGTCCAGGTGGTCATCTCTGGCGCTGAACACGTATCCTAAGCCTTGCTCTCCAGGGGAGGGGGCGGAGTTCTATACCAGGAGTTTCCGCCCTGCCCAGTACTTTGCTCGGGGGTGGAGGGGGGAGTCCTCTCCTGGGGAGGCCCTGTGCCCCTAAGTGTGCTGGAGTGGGGCTCTGCTCTCGTCCTGAACCTGAGCTATTCTCTGCTTGACTGGACAGCCGCCCTTTGGCCAGTTCCCAAGGTCTTTGCCTCCTCTTGGCCTTGGAAGGAGTGGGGGAGGAGGAAGCACCCTGGGACTAAGGCCACCAGACTCCCATTTCTCCGGCACCGGCACCCGTGTCTGAACACAGGCTTCTCAACGTCTGCTCACTCCTCAGGGATCTGAGCTTAGAATGTCCTTAGCTGTTCTTCCCATTGCACACTTGGGAACACCAAGGCTTCAGGGAGAGATGAAACTGGAGTCAGCCCTCCTTCCCCCATCTCAGAGCTGTGCTCCTTCTGTCTTCCTCTCTGGCCAGGTCGTACATGGGATCTCTGTGGCAGGATGGGACTGGCTGGATCCCTCTGTCTGGACACAGCCTGGACTTACAGGCCATTGAGGTGGCTGCCCAGAGCAACCATTACTGTCATGCCCAAAAGGATCTTGACAGTGAAGGTGACCCTAAGAAGGAGCGTGCCCGGCGCCAACTCTATGTGGCTTCTGCCATCTGCTTGGTGTTCATGATCGGGGAAATCATTGGTAAGGACTTCTGTGCCAAATGAAGTTGGCACATGGATAAACTGGATGATCCCAGTAATACTATTAACACTAATAGCCCTATTTATTGAACTCTTACTAAGCTAAGCCCTTTGTATACACATTTTCTCATGCAATTCTAACAAGCTTGTGCTACCATATGAGTACTGTTATTCTCCTTATTTTATAGATGATGAAACTGAGGCATATTTAGTTTAAGTAACTTGCCAAATATCACACAGAGCTAGTAGATAATGGAAGGTACCTGAATTCCTAGAAGGAAAGGGCATTTACTGAGTATCTACTATGCTTTCTGGTCCCTATTTGAACTTGATTTTCACATTCACCCTCTAAGTCAGTGGTTCTCAACCTTCCTTTAATGCCATGACCCTTTAATACAGTTAGTTTCTCATCTTGTGGTTGCCCCCAACCATAAAATTATTTTCGTTGCTACTTCTTTTTTCTTTTTTTTTCTTTTTGTGAGACAGAGCCTCAAGCTATCCCCCTGGGTAGATCCCCCTGGGTAGAGTGCTGTGACATCACAGCTCACAGCAACCTCCAACTCCTGGGCTCAAGCGAGTCTTCTGCCTCCACCTCCCAAGTAGCTGGGACTACAGGTGCCCACCACAACACCCAGCTATTTTTTGGTTGCAGCCATCATTGTTGTTTGGCGGGCCCAGACTGGATTCGAACCCGCCAGCTCAGTTGTATGTGGCTGGTGACTTAGCCGCTTGAGCCACAGACGCCCAGCCCATTGCTACTTCATAACTGTAATTTTGCTACTGTTATGAATTGTAATGTAAATATGATATGCAGGATGTATTTAGGCGACTCCTGTGAAAGGGTCATTCAACCCTCAAAGGGGTCGTGACCCGTAGGTTGAGAACGGTTACTCTAAGTATATGTTGTTGGCCCATTTCACAGAGAGGGGAAGTTGAGGCTCAGAGAGAGTAAGGTACTTTCTCACAGTTGCACTGTTCACGGGTCACAGATCTGCAGCCCAGTGTGTCTTCTCCCAGAGCCTGTGGTCTCCCTGCTACACACATAGTCAGGGGGTTGGCTCTTTGGGGAGATGACAAAGACTCTCCACTTTCCTGGCCCTGCCCCTGCAGGTGGGTACCTGGCACACAGCTTGGCCATCATGACCGATGCAGCCCACCTGCTCACAGACTTTGCCAGCATGCTCATTAGCCTCTTCTCCATCTGGATGTCCTCCCGACCAGCTACCAAGACCATGAACTTCGGCTGGCAGCGAGCTGGTGAGGATCCTGATTGGGCTGGAGATGGGGTTGAGAAAGAGGATGGGTCAGAATAGAGGTTCTTAAGTGGCGTGATAGGTGGGTCCCTGAGTGAGGCCAGGAAGGCAACTTGGATGAAGGAAGATATCAACCTTGGCCTCTGTCCTCTGGGAACTTCCAGTCTGGTAGGGGAACCCTGGTTCTAGCCATCGCAGAGGTCTTTGTCTTTAGGGAGGCCGAGTTCACCTCCCTGACCAATGCAGTGGTCAGATTTCAAGAACAAATGACAGCCGCATTGTCACTGCACATGACCCCATGGATTGGCACTGGGTGGGGGAAAAGGCTATCAAAGGCTGCTGGGAGATACAGCTTTAACCTCTCTTCAGTTTACCTCTGGGCTGCATTGTCACTTTCCTCTACACGGGAAGAAAAGGTATGTATTTTAATAAGTCAGTTTCTCTACGTGTATGTATAAAATGAAATGAGTAGACCCAGATAACTTGCATAGTTCCTCCTAGCTCTAACATTCTCAGAAATAGGAATGGTGGGTAAGGTGCAACCATGCAAGCCATATCTTTAGCAGAGCCCCAACTGGACCCAGGCCCTGACTTTGCTGGCAGAGAGAGGGGAAACCTCTTTAGCTTGGGGTCCATGCCAAGGTTGGTGTTGGGGTTGGTTGTGTTCTTCCTCAGAGATCCTGGGAGCCCTGGTCTCTGTGCTGTCCATCTGGGTCGTGACTGGGGTACTAGTGTACTTGGCTGTGGAGCGGCTAATCTCTGGGAACTATGAGATCGAGGGGAACACCATGCTGATCACGTCGGGCTGCGCTGTGGCTGTGAACATCATGTGAGTGGGGCCTTGGTTTCCTGAGTCTCCCCTCCTCCTGGCTATCCCACCTGAACCTATGTCTGCTGTAAGGGAATGGAAGGAGGCCATGATACAGTTCAGCATAGGCCACAGGACAGAATCTCCCTAGTGGTCTGAGCTTTGGCACCTGGAACAACCAGGTCCTCAGGCCAAGGCTATCTAGGGTCACATCAACTCCACCCACTCCCCCATACAGATCAGTGAATAAACTTTGAGGCTTCATACCTGAAGTGGGGAGGGGTGAGCCCAATTGTTGCAGGAGCAGGTGTCTCTAGGGACAAAACCCAAGTCTATTTCAAGCTGATATGCCCAAAATTGGTCTCAGTGAAAGGCAGTGGTATGTAGAGCATGTGTGTCTTTCTCTCCCTTGCTCATCTGTAACATGATAGGGTGAACTAGATGATTTCCATAATGCCTTCTTGCTCAGATTCAGCGCTGTGGCATTGTTGTGCCCAGACCCAGCATGGCACTGGAGCTGAGTGCTGTCTCTTGTGGCACTCTTTTTTTTTTTTTTTGAGACAGAGCCTCAAGCTATCCCCCTGGGTAGAGTTCTGTGGCATCACAGCTCACAGCAACCTCCAACTCCTGGGCTCAAGCGAGTCTCCTGCCTTAGCCTCCCAGGTAACTGGGACCACAGGCGCCCGCCACAACGCCTGGCTATTTTTTGGTTGCAGCCGTCATTGTTGTTTGGCGGGCCTAGGCTAGATTCGAACCCGCCAGCTCAGTTGTATATGGCTGGTGCCTTAGCCGCTTGAGCCACAGGTGCCGAGCCTCTTGTGGCACTCTTAGCCAAGGCCACACAGGTTGGGTTCCCCACATGGCCAAAGATACCACATGGAATTTGGGTGCTTGAAATTTTTGCCTCCCAGAGTGACTTTTAACTGCTACTTCAATGAGCCCCCTGGTTTTGTCTCCACTTCCATAGTATGGGGTTAACCCTTCACCAGTCTGGCCATGGGCACAGTCATGACCATGCACACAGCCATGGCCATGCACACAGCCATGACACCAGTGAGCAGCAGGAGAACCCCAGCGTCCGAGCTGCCTTCATCCATGTGATTGGGGATTTTCTGCAGAGCGTGGGCGTCTTGGTGGCAGCCTATATTATATACTTCAAGGTCAGAACCAGGGGCAAAGGGAGGTGGGGAGCAGGGGAGTACAGATCATCTGAGGCTCCTTTCTGCACAGCGCCCTTTTCAGATTCTAGCTCCCTCCCAGTTTGAGGCAAAAGGGTGGGGAGATGGAAGGAACATTTAACCCACACCTACCAAATATCTGTACTTCTGACCCTCACCACAATGTGAAGGGCAGGCGGTAGTGTTTTCTACAACTCAGAAAGATTCAATGACGTGCATAGTATCACACAGCCAGTAAGTAGTGGAATCAGATTCAAACCCAGGACTGTGGGCTGCCGAAGCCCAGGCATTGCCCATCACACAGCCAATGAGGTGCAGTGGAAGGAGTAAGGCAGGTTTAAAGCCTTGCTCTACTCTTGGCTAGATGCATGAGGTTAGGTGAGTTGCTTGCCCTAATTGAGCCTCAATTTCCCTATCTATAAAATGGGGATGGTGGACCAGATAGTGTCTAAGATTCTTATTTTTTATTTTTTTCCTAAGATGAGGAAAAATGTTCTATGTTGCCCTTGGTAGAGTGCCATGGCATCACAGCTCACAGCAACCTCAAAGTCTTGGGCTCAAGAGATTCTCTTGCCTCAGCCTCCCAAGTAGCTGGGACTATAGGCGCCCACCACAATGCCTGGCTATTTGTTTTTGTTGTTGTTGTTGTTATTGCAGTTGTTTAGCTGACCCTGGCTGGATTTGAACCTGCCACCCTTAGTGTACGTGGCTGGCACTGTAACCACTGTGCTACAGGTGCCAAGCCTAAGATTCCTTTTAGCTTTGTCCATACCTCAGCCTCTTGGGCAATGAGGGATGGGAAGGGACAGTGCCTTATCCTGTCCTGTGGTCTGTCCTGCTCATTATTACAAATGTGGACTAGAGTAGAAAATCAGGAGGCAGGGCCAGGATGAGGCTCACATCACCCTGCAGAGAGAACCCCTCTCCCCAACACAGTGCCAGGAAGCTGAGGTGTTGGGTGATGAATACAGGTCTGCCTTTCCCTCTTCCTGCAGCCAGAGTACAAGTATGTAGACCCCATCTGCACCTTCATCTTCTCCATCCTGGTCCTGGGGACAACCTTGACCATCCTGAGAGATGTGATCCTGGTGCTAATGGAAGGTAACTTGGACTTTGGGGCTCCCTTTCTGCTCTTGGTTTTCAAGCTCTTATCAGCCTCAAATTGGGTATGTGTATCAGCATATACATGGTGTGGACCATGGCGTGAGCCAGAAAGCCCCCTGGGGCCCTGGGCTGATCTTGGCGTAGAGCTTGGGCTCCAGAGTGTAGCATTTGCTGGAACTATCCCTGTCTTCACTTCCACCTAGCCCTTAAAGTGCCTCCTCCCCTGCTGGGATGTGTCCTCCCTGCCTAGTTAGGTGGCTTCTAGGTGGTATCTGTAGCACCTGGAGCTCCGGCCCTACCCTGTACAGTCTCTAGTTGCCTTCTCTCAGGAAGAGAGAGGGAGTGAGGATTATGCTTCTCATTGCACTGGGGGAAAGATTGAGGCTCAGAAAAGGACAGTAAGTCTTAGATAAGGCTACTGAATCCATTCCAATTTAGGCCTTTCTACAACATCTCAAAACCCAAACTATGCCCCTGCTTCCAGGGACATGGTTGCACTTTGAGCAAGTTGGAGACCGATGAGTGGTGGAGAATGGTCTGCCCTGAGTCACCACTGTCTTGTGCTCTAGGGCCTTGAGTCTTGGGCTGGGGTCATGAGTCTCTGTGTGGTGAGGGGCAGTCTGGAGTTGAGTTGGAGTTGGCCTGGGGTTAGCAGGAGTGTTTGCAGTTCCAAGCTTTTTCTCTAA